GTTGTTGTTGTTGTTGTTGCTGTTGTTGTTGTTGTTGAATTCTCATTTCTGAAGAATAAGTATTGTTGATCCCCCCCGTCCGATGCACATTGTTTTTTTTTTCTGGTTGAAATGCCCTTCCTGGGGATCGCACCCTGTTTGTTTATCAGGGAAAGTCTTGAGGGTCAAACTGTGTTGTTGGCTCCCTGTTTACAACAACAACAACGGCTCCCGCCTGAGATTAGTTCACAATTTAGCCAGGACCCCCGCTCCCGCCCGAGACTTCCTCGCATTTTATTCACGAGTCGCGCTCTCGCTGGGGACTGCGTTATAATTTATTCAGGATTCGCTTTCCCGGCGCTCTGGAATCGCGCTCTGGCTGGAGACTTCCCTTCGTGGCCCCCTCGCTGCCCTTCGTGGCCCCGCTGCAGCCCTTCGTGGCCCCCTCGCTGCCCTTCGTGGCCCCGTTGCAGCCCGTCGTGGCCCCTTCTATGCCCTTCGTGGCCCCGTCGCAGCCCTTCGTGGCCCCTTCGCTGCCCTTCGTGGCCCCCTCGCTGCCCTTCGTGGTCCCGTTGCATCCCTTCGTGGCCCCCTCGCTGCCCTTCGTGGCCCCATATTTATATGCCCTTCGTGGCCCCCGCTCGTTCGCGTCCGTGGTGGTCCCATATGCATGTCCTTCGTGGCCCCGCTGTCGCCTTTCGTGGCCCCCTCGCTGCCCTTCGCGGCCCCGTTGCTGCCCTCAGTGGCCCCGTCCTTGCTCTCCGCGGCCCAATATACGTATGCCCTTCGTGGCCCCCGCTCGTTCGCGCCCGTTGTGGCCCCATGTGCATGGCCTTCGTGGCCCCGCTGTCGCCGCTTGTGGCCCCCTGACTGTCCTACGTGGCCCAGTTGCTACCCTCAGTGGCCCCATCGTTGTCCCCTCTGGTCCCGCATTATCTGCCCTTCGTGGCCCCCGCTCGTTCGCGCTCTTCGTGGCCCCATACGCATTCCCTTCGTGTCCCCGCTGTCGCCCTTCGTGGCCTACTTCGTGTCCTTGTGGCCCTGCTGTCGTTCTCCCTCGCTCTCGCTTTCGCTCGTCGTCGTCGTCGTCGTCGTCGCCGTCGTCGTCGTCGTCGCCGTCGTCGTCGTCGTCGTCGTCGTCGTCGTCGTGCTCGGTACCCTGTCCGTCCCTCTTGGGGTCGGGTCGACGGTCCGCGGCCGTCCCGTCGATCAGCGCTGCCGCTGGCCAGGCCGACGGTCCGAGGCCGACCCGCCGTTTGCCGGGGCCCGGCCTGCAGGGAAGAAACATATGCCCCCCCAAAGTGGGTCGATCGAAGACGAAGATGGCGGACATCGAGGGTTTGGCAAATTCGCGTTATTGGAGACTCGAGCAGATAAGGACGGTCAGTTTTTAACTTATGGTTGTTGTTGTTGTTGCTGCTGCTGCTGCTGCTGCTGCTGCTGCTGTTGTTGTTGTTGTTGTTGTTGTTGTTGTTGTTGTTGTTGTTGTTGTTATTGTTGTTGTTGTTGTTGTTGTTGCTGCTGCTGTTTTGTTGTTGTTATTATTGTTGTTGCTAGTATTGTTATTATTTTTATTATTATAATTATTATTATTAGTAATAGTATTATTATTATTGTTACTACTATTATTACTATTATAATTATTAGCATCATCGTCATCACCATCATCATTATTATTATATTAGCACCGTTCACATTTATTATTTTTTTTTCGTAGTGTGGTTCTTATCGTTGTTGTTGTCCTCTTATTATTACTCTTATTATTATTATTATTATCATTATTATTATTATTATTTTTATTTATTTATTTATTTATTATTATTATTATTATCATTAATATTATTATCATTATTACTATTATGTTGAATACCCATGTTCCAAATAATGATTATTGTTGATCATCGGAAACGGTTCCGCGCGCTCCCGCCTCGACGCTGGCTGCATTTTCTCTGAAAACGAGGCTTCCGCTCAAGCGTTGGCTTGAGCCTAAATGTGGGCCCTTGGAGGCCCAGCTTCGACAACAACGGCTCCCGCTCGATAGTTCCTCGCAACCCCGAGACACCCTGGCCAGAGATGCCTCCGAACTCAGGAACGGCGCTCTCGCTCGAGACTTCCTCGCAATTCAATCAAGTTGGCGGAGGCCCAGCCACGACGACAAGGGCTCCTGCTCGATATTTCCTCACGATTTACTCCGAGAGCCCCTGGCCAAGAAGGCCTCCCAACTCAGGAACGGTGCTCTCGCTCGAGACTCTCCCGTACTTCAGGCAAGTTGGTGGAGTCCCCGACACGGCGACAAGGATTCCCGTTCATGTTCCCCCCGAAAGGGGGGGTGCAATCGAAGACGAAGTGGGCGAGTATCGAGGGTTGGGTATACGGAAAGCGAGACACGCGTGCGTAATGCAGGCGAGTTGGTGGAGGCTTGGACAACATGGCGACAAGGGTTCCCGTTCGATATTTCTCCACAGGTATTCCGAGAGCCCCTGGCCAGAGAGGCTCCCGAACTCAGGAACGGCGCTCTCACCGGAGACTTCCTCGCACTTCAGTCAGTGGCCGACAAGGATAATATTCCTTCCGAAATGGGGATGCAATCGAAGACGAAGTGGGCGTGTATCGAGGGTTGGGGTATACGGAATGCGAGACACGCGTGCCAGCAAGAGCGAACTGTCTTAAATGATTGTCGTCGTCGTCGTCGTTATTGTTGTTGCTGCTGCTGTTGTTGTTGTTGTTGTTGTTGTTGTCTTTTTGTTTGTTTGTTTGTTTGTTTGTTTGGTTGTTGTTGTTGTTATTGTTGTTGTTATTGTTGTTGTTGTTGTTGTTGGTGCTGCTGCTGCTGTTGTTGTTGTTGTTGCTGCTGCTGCTGTTGTTGCTTTTTGTGTTGTTGTTGATGTTGTTGTTGTTGTGGTTGTTGTTGTTGTTGTTGTAGTTGTTGTTGTTGTTGTTGTTGTCGTTGTTGTTGTTGTTGTTGAATATTATTACTTCTAAAGAATAATTATTGTTGGGCCCCCTGGTGCACGCCCCCCTCGCCGCGCCTAGGCCGCAGCCACATTTTCATCATTTTCGTGAGGAAGTCTCAGGCAAAACGATGTCATCCAGATCCGGTTGTTTTGTTGACGCCCGCTTTCCCTTGCAAAAAACAATATAAAATGACATTTCTTGTTCTAACATAACCAAACTTCAGGAATCCATTGCAAAAAATGACACGAAGTGCACACTCGCGCGCGCAAGACGAAATCCTTCCAAAACCTTAGTTTTCGTAGCGATTTTAACATAAAAACATCAAAAACCCAAAGGTTTTTCAAAAAAAAAGTTGTGAAATTCTATCCCGCGCGCTCTTGCGGATTCGTAGGAAACCCAACACTTTTTAAACATTTCTGTCAAACGGGCTTTTGCGAGCAACTTTTTCGAACTTCTGCAACAACGGTTGCGCACCTGCCAGGGCCATCATCCCTGTCAAATAATACCATGCGGGACACATTCGTTTTTTCTTCGCGCGCGCACGCCGTCGTCGTCGGCCGCGGGGCCCTGAATAGTAGCCACGGTCGTCCGCATGCCACGAAGTGAAGTGTCCGAACGTCATAGGGCGGGAAGCTGGGTGTGGGTGGTGGCGAAGAGTCGTTTGGAAATTTGGTAGAGCTTGAACCGGCCCCCCCACAAAGTGGGGGTATTGCCCGCCTCCTATGAAAACCCTGGCACTGGTGAGAACGGAGTGTCCCCACGTGCTAGTAATTGTTGTTGTTGTTGTTGTTGTTGTTGTTGTTGTTGTTGTTGTTGTTGTTGTTGTTGTTGTTGTTGTTGTTGTTGTTGTTGTTGTTGTTGTTGTTGTTTTTGTTGTTGTTGTTGTTGTTGTGATTGTGTGTATCTCGTCTCTACGTCTGTTTTGCCGGGGGTCTCGTTCTGCCTGCCGCCTCGTCCGTGCACGCCCCGCCGTTTCGGGTCGTCGCTGTGTCCCATCCTTGCCACCTCCACTTTGTACTGCTCTGTCTCCGTTCCCCCTCTCTGCCGGTCTCCCCGCCCCCCCCTGCTGCTTTCGCTTCGCGACTGCCCCCTCGCGAGTTATGCTGTTGGTCCCCTATGGGCGGATCCAGTACCTCCACGCCGCGCGATCCGGGCCGGCCGCGCGCGTCTGTTCGTGCGACTCTCTGCGCCGCGCCGCTGCGCTCGTGAACGCGACGGCAAAGAGTGTGAGTGTGTGTGTGTGTGTGTGTACAGCCGGGGCCCTGCAAAAGGAACCCTTTTTGTTGGGGAGGGGCTCGGGGTTCTTTGATTGTTCTACAGTTTGCATTCTGTTTTCCTGAGCTTTTCCATGGGAAATCGAAGTTCAATTTATGGGAGAAAGGGGCCCCGTTCCTTATTTAGGGTTCCTGACGTCAACGCCCCGACTGTACTGGCCTCCGAACTAAAGCAACCCACAACCTGAAGGGACTTTCCCTGGCGGCGCGCAGAGGAGGGTATGTGGGAGCTTGGAAGCACCCCTTCTTCTGAGAAGGCGCGGGCCTTGTCTAAAGACTGAAGGCCCGCGCCTTCTAAGAAGCAGCCTCCTTCTAAGAAACCTTCCCCCCCCCTACCCCCCTTGTGCGCGCTGCCAATTTCCAGTAACCCCCAGCCATCAGGAACCCTGCATGACTCTCTGGGTTGTTGACGTGGCGAGAGGGAAGCAAGGCCCCAGCAGCGCCACCAGTGTACCAGGATGCTCTTGCGTGCTGTGCAAGATGTCTGTTGTTATCGGAACACTACTCTCGGCGGCGAGCGAGGGGGGTGGAAATGAGGAGGAGAAGGCCCTCTCTGAAGGCGGCGGAACTTCTCAGAAACCCTCGCGTCTCCTGAGGGGTTCTCTCTTGTGTCTTCCGGGAAAGCTCAGAAAACTTCTCAGAAGGCCGGGATATTTCCGAACCCTGTGATCATTCCTCCTCCTTCTCACTTTCCCCTCGGTCTCGCCGCCGAAACATGTTTGTTGTTGTCATAGCCCTATTCTCTTTTGTGCATGCTGTGCTGCCTGAAGATTGGGTGGGTGCACGCACGAGGAGTCGGAGCTGTCTGCTATTCAGCAGGTGAAAAGGGACTTCGACATTCCGGTTGTCAGTATCGCACGAATGAGCCATCTGATCAACTACTTGCAGGACTGGTGCCTGAGTTATTTACGCATAGCCAGACTTCGGCAACGAGGGGTGCAGCGATGCTCGCATCTCGCCCCGTCACATGCAAGCATATGGGCGATTCATGCACCACTAGCAGCACATTTGGTCGTTTTAATGTGGTCGCGTCCGCTCATGCCACTGGCCTTCTCTCTCTAGCTATACATGTGGTTGAGAAGCTCTGTCTGTCGCGCCCTACAGTCGTGGCGCTGAAGAAGGAACCCTTTTCGTTGTGGAGGGGCTCGGTGTTCCTTGATTGTTTTACAGTTTGCCTTGGGTTTTCCTTAGGTTTCCATGGGAAACCGAAGTTTAACTTCTGGGAAGAAGGGGCCTCGTTCCTTATTTAGGGTTCCTTAGGTCAGCGCCCCGACGGAATGTTTGACCGTATAAGCTGTTTCTGGCGTTAACCAAACCGTGCAAGCCCCTTCAGAAAGACGATGATGGCCAGGATGTGTCACTCCGTGCTCCATCCATGCGAGCAATGCCTTCCGAGTGAGAGGTTCTCGAGGCAAACTGCTTCTGAGGAGGCTGAGCGACTCCTTGCAGAGCTGCTGCGTATGGCAAACTCCGCATTTCGATAGATTGCTCTTCTAGTGGATTCGCGTCACTCTGACCCCCAGCCCGTGAGGAGATGTTGCCCCCAATCGTGCTCCCTGTCACCAGTAATGGGGAGGGGAGCACGTGGAACACGCGGACGACGTAGACGAATCCCAACCTGGCGGGATGGTGTCGCGTGGGAGATCTGTACAAAGTCAGCTCCCCTCCCCATATGCAGGCCTCAGCGGGGGTGTGGGGCGGAGAGGAAGGAGGGGGTGGGGAAGAGTCACATCACATATCGATAAACCACGTTCTCACCTTTCGACCCCCCCAGGGCAACACACACACAGAAATCCGATGTCATGATTTTTTCAATACGGGGCCCACGAAAACCTCGACCCATTCCCCAAGACCGGTTTTTCATCCTGAGTCGTTTTTTGACGGTCCTGGGGCCCAGTGAGGGCCGCTGGAGGCCGGAAATGGCGAAACACTTCCGTCCTGATTTTTTCAATACGTTGGATCTCTGGGCGCACGAGCCAGCTTGCAGGACATGTCCTCACCATTACAACCGTCCCCGGGCAGCTCACCCTCGGGCAGAGTACACCCTCCGTGGCAGGACCCGCGTGTCGCCCCAGTCGCCCAAGGTGTGGGGCCCGGGCCGATTTCCCAAAGCGGCCCAGGAGGACAGGACTTCCCAGAGAGGGCTCGAAGACGCAGGGGGGCGAGTACAAAGATTCGGCGCATGCATTCGAACGACAAGCGGCCGGGATAGTCCATGATGGGGAGCCTCGTCCCCCGAGATGTTCAGGATTAGGAGCCCTTTCCTTGTCCCGATGCCATGCCCCTCTTGGCACCTTTTCGAGGACCTCCCGTGCGGGAGCACGACATCGGCCTTTCCCCCCCTACAGGAGGTCTTAAACAGTGCCTCCAACCACCAGGTTCATAAACGTTTCAGGGGAGTCTGCACCACCCGGTCCCGAATCCATGAGCGTTGCAATGGAGGAGGAGGAGGAGGAGGAGGAGGAGGAGGAGGAGGAGGAGGAGGAGGAGGAGGAGGGGGAGGAGGGGGAGGAGGGGGAAGGAGGGGGGAGGGGGGGGAGGAGGGGAGGAGGGGGCGGCTGCGATCGGACGGTTCTCGGCAGCCTAACTCCGCAGCCAGCTTGCCTGCCCGCTTGCGCGCGCTCACGGCCTCGCGGTGTGGCCAGCGACAGACCTCTCGGCCTCGCCGGGCCTCGCGGACTCTGCCCGCCCGGAGCCAGTGTTGAGTCGGGCCTGTCCCCCTACAGGGGGAATATTCAAAAGTAGTCAACAAGAATAGTCTGGGGACTATTTTTGGAGTATTTTTTTGATCATTTTGGAGTATTTTTGGAATATTTTTTCTTTCTCGTCGAAAATCCCCCTGTAGGGGGACACGCCCGACTTCATGCCAGTGCCGGTGTCCGAAGGTCTTGGGTTCAAGCCATTTTTCTCCTCACGCCGAAGGTAGGAGGCTTGAGAAATGAGCACCGACACCAACCCTGGGTGTTGCCTCCACCAGGGGAAGACAATCCCAGATTACAGTGTTGGTGGTAAGCTTTCGGCCGCCTGCGAAGCCCGAGCATTACCGCCACCACCGTCGTCGGGATCATCCTCCCTCGGTCTTGGCATCGCTCGGACGTGTGCACTTTTCCTTCGGCGAGGGCCATCGAGGAGCATCCTTGATCATTTGGCGAAAAAACCACGCACGAAACCGAAAAAAACACAGGGAATGGACGCCCGAGCGATGGCGAGCGGTGGTGGCACACCGCCGATACTGGTGTTGGTGTCCACTTCTAGGCCTCCGAGAAGATGCAGCGGCCAGCGCCTGGAGGGCCAGAGTCGCCTGGTGCTCCCACTCTCGCAGGCGCTGCACGTCTCTCTGCCAGCTCCTGCGGCATGTCGTGCGCGCCTTCGTCTCGACCGCGCTCTGCTGGGCTCAAGAGCGTAACCTTCGACTTGAATCTAGAACGTTACCCTGTACGCGCCAGCCCCGCTGGCGCCGACAGGGGGTCCTGGCAGACCGGGGCGTTCGCCAGCGAGCTGCACTTCGGCAGTGACGTGAGCACGGACTCCTCCGCGGGGCCCGAGACCCGGCTAGAGGCTTTTATTGTTCTGCAGGAGAACAGTCGAGACAAGGCTGCGTCTGCGAGGTCTACCACTGCTGATGGGGCCTCCAGTGCGCAGGAGGATGGGGATGACATTTCGTTGGCCGAGATTGAGGCGTATGCTAATGAGCAGGCCAGCCGGCTTACGTCTTTGATGGACAAGCGGCGCGCTCGCCGCACGGCCACCGTCAGCACTGGTCGTACGAGGCAGGTGGAGGGCATCAGCTTCCAGGTGAAGACGTCCACCCTGTGGCAGCGGAGGGGCTTTGCAGAGTAAGGGCCCCCCTGGGGCAGGCCCAGGCTCACCCCCCAGCCGTTTTCGTTGCACTGCGAGTCTGCCTCCTCGGTGCCGCATCCCCCAAAGCGAGGCCTTTTCTGGAGGGCGCATGCTTAACAGCTGGCCGTGGAACGGCCCCCCTTTCCCCTCGCTGGCGCAGCAGACACCGCGCTCGGCCATGCCCCATGGTGATCGTGCCCCGCGCTTGACCGACCCCGCCCCGCGATCATCATGCTCCAGGCACGTGCTTTTTTTCCCAACCCTGTGGTGTTGCGTACTCGTTTTGACTGGAGCAGTGTGGTCTCCACCTCCTCCTCCTCCTCCTCCTCCTCTCCTCCTCCTCCTCCTCCTCCTCTTCCTCCTCCTCCTCCTCCTCCTCTCCTCCTCTCTTCCTTCTCTCCTTTTTCCTGTGTTCCCTTCTCCTCTTCTCTCGTGCCGTCTGCGGTCTGCGCAACTGTCGCCACTTTCGTGGGCTCCTGGGTGGCCCAGCGGAGGTGGGTCCCACGCGGACCACCTCGGGACCTCGCCGCCCCCTGGGGGGCTTGCGATCTGCGCAACCGTCGCCACTTTCGTCGGCTCCTGGGAGGCCCAGCGGAGGTGGGTCCCACGCGGACCATCTCGGGACCTCGCCGCTCCTTGGGGGGCTTGCGATTTGCGCAGCTGTCGCCACTTTCGTGGGCTCCTGGGAGGCCCAGCGGAGGTGGGTCCCACGCCGGACCATCTCGGGACCTCGCCGCTCCTTGGGGGGCTTGCGATCTGCGCAGCTGTCGCCACTTTCGTGGGCTCCTGGGAGGCCCAGCGGAGGTACGTCATACGCGGACCACCTCGGGACCTCGCCGCCCCCTGGGGGGCTTGCGATCTGCGCAACCGTCGCCACTTTCTTGGGCTCCTGGGAGGCCCAGCGGAGGTACGTCATACGCGGACCACCTCGGGACCTCGCCGCCCCCTGGTGGGCTTGTGATCTGCGCATCTGTCGCCACAAAGTGTGATGTCGGACGAGCTGCTTTAAGACGTCTTCTGTTCAAAATGGGGCTCTCGCTCCAGACATCCTCGAAACTAGCGAAATGGGACTCTCGCTCTGGACATCGCTCTGTTCAACATGGGGCGCTCGCTCTGGAGACGTCGAGGGAGCTTGCGAAACTAGACGGCCCAAGAGAGACTCAAGAGAGTTCCAAGACTGTTTAGTATATCGAAGACGCCTACGGCGAATGACCGCCGCCCCCTGCCTTTCTGGAAGCGCCTATGTGGCCGAACGTTGAGGCCAGACCTGCCAAGCTATCGGACCATGTGCTCCCCGAATCGGTTTGGAAAGCCTTCGGGGAACACGTGGGCATCTTGAAGGTCATCTTGGCCGCCTGGAGGCCATTTTGACCCTGTCGGGCCTTCTTGGAGGACGTCTTGGAGGGCTCTTGGGCCGTCTTGGAGGCCATCTTGAGGGTCTTGCAGGCCTCTGCGGCCGTCTTGGGGGCCTCTTGGGGCCGTCTTGGGCCTCTTGGGCGGTCTTTGGGGGCACTTGGGCCGTCTCGGGCCGTCGGAAGGCCGAAAAAGAGCAAATGCCACAATTCTTCAACAACTCATGGGAAATCAATGATTTTGGCTTTTTCGGGCCTCCCTGGAGGTCCTCTTGGAGGCCTCTTGGGCCGTCTTGGGCCATCTTAAGGCCATCTTCGGCCATCTTGGTGGGCCCCTGGCCCGTCCGACGCCGTCGGAAGTTGTTTGGGGGGCCTCTCTGAGCCGACTTGGGGCCCTCTTGGTTGGAATGCTCCAGGGCCGTCTAGGAGGCCATCTTGGGCGTCTCAAAAGCCTCCTGGGCCGTCTTGGGGGCCTCTGAGGGTCGTCTTGGGAGCCTCTTGGGCCGTTCTGGGGCCATCTTGGAGGCCTCTTGGGCGATCTTTGGGCGATCAATTCCGTTGCGGCAGAATGCAACAGGATCACCGTTGTGGCAGAACACTAACATATTCCTTCTGTGGCGGAGTGCAATAGGTTTCTTTCTGTGGTGGATTACTACGGGATTTCGTTTGTGGCCAAATGCAATATGTTTTTTGGTTGATTACCAAGGGATTCCGTAGGTAACATAATCCAGCGGGAATTTTGTTGTGGCGAGTGCCAGAGGGTTCCCCTGTCGTGGCGGAGTACAAGAGGATTGCCTCCGTAGATTAATGCCGCAGCATCGATTTTGTTGCGAAGCACAAGGATAATCATTCTGTGGTGGATTACAACAAAGGATTTGTTTTGTGGCGGAATGCAACAAGGAAGCTTTTGGTGGCAGAATGCTGGGGGTTTCCCTGGGCGCGGCGCGGCGTACATGTTCTTGCGCATGATTCTTTTTGCTTTGTTCGTCCTCCCCCTCCCCCTCCTCGTTCTCCTCCTTCCCCTCCTCCTCCTCCTCCTCCTCCCCCCCCTCCTCCTCCTCCTCCTCCCTCCTCCTCCTCCTCCTCCTCCTCCTCCTCCTCCTCCTCCTCCTCCTCCTCCTCCTCCTCCTCCTCCTCCTCCTCCTCCTCCTCCTCCTCTTCCTCCTTCTCTCCAGCCTCCTGCATGATCCCTCCTCCCATGCTCTTTCCTCTTTTTCTCCTTTGCCTTCTTGCTCTTCCCTCCTCGTCTCTTGTCCTCCTCCCTCCTCTCTCCCCTCCTGTCGCCTTCCACTATGTCATCCTTTGAATGCGTATCTCTACCAACTTTCGCTGGGGAGGGGCGCAGGATGATAATCACGGAAGGGGGCATGAGAAGGATGGTAAGCATGGAGAATGTGCAGGAGGAGGAAGGTGAGCATGAGGAAGAGTATGATGATAAGGATGTTCTCCCCCCCAAACAGTTGTTCGCTGGGGAGGGGCGCAGGATGATAATCACGGAAGGGGGCATGAGAAGGATGGTAAGCATGGAGAATGTGCAGGAGGAGGAAGGTGAGCATGAGGAAGAGTATGATGATAAGGATGTTCTCCCCCCCAAACAGTTGTTTGGGGGTGCTGGGGGACGGGGCGAGCTATGGTCGCCCCCCCCCCCCCCCTTCCCAGCACCCCCAAACCACCCAGACCACGGCATGCACTGATCGTTTTCTTTTCCTTCTTCCTCTCCTCCTCCTCTTCCTCCTCCTTTTCCTTCTCCTCCTTTTCGTCCTCCTCCGCCTCCTTCTCCTCCCCTTCCTCCTCCTCCTCCTCCTCCTCCTCCTCCTCCTCCTCCTCCTCCCCCTCCTCCTCCGCCCCCATCCTCCACCCAAATCCCCCAAAGCATGCAATGATCGTTTTCTTTTCCTTTTTTTTCTCTTCCCTCCCCCTTCTCCTCCTTTCCCTTCCCTTCCTCTTCGTCCTCCTTCGCCTCCTCTTTTTCCTCCCCTTCCTCCTCTTCCTCGTCCTCCTCCTCCTCCTCCTCCTCCTCCACCCCCTCCTCCACCCACCCCCCCCAAACATGCACTGATCGTTTTCTGTCTCTTCTTCCTCGTCTCCTCCTCCTCCTTTCCCTCCTCCTCCTCCTCGATTGCCTTCGAAACCAGCGAAGTCGAGACCACGCTTGAAACAACCAGACAACAATTATGCATGCATGCATGCATGCACGCATGTATGTATTTATGCATGTATGCATGTATGTACACATGTATGCATTTCTGTAGGTATGCATGTATATAGATATATGTATGTATGTATGTATGTATGCATGCATGCATGTATGTATGTATGCATGTATGTGTGTATGCATACATGTATGTATGCATGCATGTATGCATGCATGTATGTACGTATGCATGCATGCATGCATGCATGCATGTATGTACGTATGTATGCATGCATGTATGTACACATATACGTATGCATGTATGTATGTATGCATGCATATAGGCATATATGTATTTATGTATACGTATGCATGCATGTGTGTACAAATTTGTACGTTCGTATGCATGTATACATGTATGCATGCATGTATGCATGTGTGTATGCATATATGACTGTGTGCATGCGTATACGTACGCACGTATGTATGTATGCATGCATGCACGCAGTTATGCATGCACGTACGCATGAAGGTATGTATGCACGCATGTATGCATATATGCATAATGTATGCTACATGCATGTATGTACGTATGTACGTATGTATGGATGTACGTATGTATGTATGTATGTATGCATGCATGCATGCATGTATGTATGTATGTATATGTATGCATGTAGGTATGCATGTACGTATGTATGTATGTATGTATGCATGTATGTATGTATGTATGTGTAGGTGTACGTATACATGTACATATACACACATATCTACATATACAGATATGAATGTACGCATGCATATAGGCAGGTATGTATGTGTGTATACATGTGTGTATGCATGTATGCATTTTTGTACGTATGCACGTATGTATACATGCGTCCATACGTACATGCATGTATGCATGTACGTATGCATGCATACATGTATGCTTGTATGTAGTTATGTAGGTAAGTATGTATGTATGCATGCATGCATACCTGCATGTATGTATGTATGTATGTATGTATGTATGTATGTATATATATATGCACACATGCATGTATGTATTTGTAGACATACATAGCTGTATGTGCAGGTTTGTATGCTTACATATCTAATTCACGAATGACCCCTTCCCAGGGCTCCGACCTGCACTTCGGGAACATCTTCGGCACATTGCCGGTACCGCCCTCCCGGGCCTCCAAGAGACCCCCAGGAGCCCTCTTGAGGTTCCCTTGGAAGCCCAGGGCGCCTCCAAGACGGCCGAGGGTGCTGGACGACGGCCCGCGACGGCCTCTGGACGGCTCAAGAGGCCCCCGCGAGCGCCCAAGACGGGGCCAAGAGGCTTCCAGGACCGTCCTGGAGGGCTCCGAGGAAACCGTCGAGAGGCCAAAGCCATTGAAGCACATGCGGAACATCTATGATTTTTGCCTTCTCGGTTTTTCGCTTTCGATACGACTTCGAGGCTGCCGCATGGCCCCTACGACGGCCCCAAGATGGCCTCCGGAGGCGCCCCAAGCGGCTCCAAGAGG